AGGGTAGACCCAGGAGACGGATTCAGATGGGGACTCGACCTCTGAGGACAGAACTGGACTTCTCCAGGACTGGCAGGTGATGTCCCAGCATGTGGGGGACAGCTCAGGCCTCTCCCACTCTGGGCGTCCCTAGTCATCTGAGATAGCTGGGTTACGGAGTTCCCCACAGCGTCCATTTGGGGGGAACCCACAGACGTTCCCGGCTGCCCGGGCATCTCCCCACGGCTAACTCCCCCCTCCTGGGAAGGGATAAAGCAGCGGAGCCCTGGAAAGCCTCTGAAGAGTGCCAGGAGTGGACCCGGCAGCCCAGGTGTGGGAGTGGGGAGGGCCCGGCTAAGTCAGGGAACGCTGAGGGGTCTGTTGGCGGTGGAGGGTGAACCGGAAGGATCGCGGCAGGAGTAGAGAGGCCAGCCACTGGACAGCTGGAAAGGTGCTCTTCAGCCGGAGGAGGGGGACTCAGAGCAGGTGTCTTACAGGGACACTGACAAGACCCGTCGGGCACGTGCACCAAAGCCACCAGGCACAGCCAGGAAAGCCATCATAACCCTCAGGTGCAGTATTCTGGGTGCAGCCGGCTTCACTGCCAGACAACAGGGAGCAGGGAGGAACCCCGGGCCCCCCACCATGGAGACAGGAATCACGTTTGGGCCTGAAATGGCCACTGAAGGCTCACGTGTGGAAGGCCTGTCCCCAGTGCAGCAGGGTTCAGGGGCTCTGGGAGGTGACTGGACCCTGACCTCAGCAGGGACGCACCCCCTGGTGGCTCACAGCTGATGGCATTCCTGGAGTGGTGGGGACTCCAGGGGGTGGGGCCACGTGGAGGAGGTAGGTCACAGGGGCGGGTCCCTGGCCTTGTCCTTTCCCCTTCCTTCCCTCCTCTCTGCTGCCCGGCTGAGCCGCTGACCGCTCCCACACTCCTGCTCTGGACGGAGGCCCCAGAACCATGGTCCACACAGACCTTTCCTCCCTTGGCCCAGTCTCCCAGGTATTCTGTCCCAGGGATGACGAACAGACCAACACCACACAGGAAAGTTCCAGAAGGTTCCAGGTCTGGTTTACGAGGGGACCCTCATACCGGCATCCAGTGATCACCTAAACCAGGCCTTTTAGAGATGAAGACGGGCACTGGCCGGTGGGATCTGGCCAGTGGTCAGCAGATTCAGGTGTGACAAGCGCTTCTGAGACTTACCACTCCTATTATAGTCTATTCTAATGCAACTGTCCCAAATATAAAAATGATTTTTTGTTGTTTTAAGTTTGTACTGACACGTAAAAAAAAATAAAAATTATAAATTAAAAAGAAACAAAAACACGTCAACCTTGAGAAACTATAGAAGAATGAAAATTAGAGAAGGTCACGAGAGGAGGACTGCACATCAGAGGTCACAGTGCCAGGGACTAATGAAGTCCAGGAGCGCTGACTGCGAACAGGGGACGAGCTATTATCAGCTCCAACTGCAACCAACTCAATGTTCCTCCCCCAAGTTCACATGCTGAGCCCCTACCTCCAGTTATGGTGTCAGGAGACAGGACAAGGTCAAGGGGATGGAGCCCTCATTCAAGGGCCCAGAGAGCCTTCTGACCCTCCCCTGCCACAT